GTGTTCACTCAACTGCCTAGGCGATAGATTGTGTACCACGTGTTCGTTTGATTTTAAATGCGGTTTTAATTTTGCGAACTTCTGGTCTAAGCTCTTGCGTTTCTGTTCCTGTCTCCCTTTTGCCAGAGTAGATACTGTGCGCTCGAGGGAATCGGCAACGTGTCCGCCAAATTGTCGTGCGTTCTTCCTTCTTTTGTTAAGCAAACAATATCGACTCTAGCAAAAGCGCCTTCCTCACAGGCTAAATAGATGATCAGGCAGCTTACCGGTCTCCTGAACCGACTCCAACGTAGCAATGTGATATCGCAAGACGAATGGCGACGAACCTAAACCAACCGACACAACACTGCCCCGGTTTTACGGATTGCCCTAAATTCACAAGCCCAACGTCCCCCTCCGACCAATCGCGGCATTAAAAGGCAGCCCTACCTATCCAAATTGATGTCAAGAAAACTAAACCTTCTCCGAGAGGGCTCGAGAACCTCAATCAATTCGGCCTCCCAATTTCTAGCCGCTATCTAGGAAAGAACGGTTCAACCAGATCAAACCATGGTATCTTTTAAAATATCTTGACTATTCACACCTATCCCATCGGACCTGGTATGTGACGTCCTATGTGAACGACACGAAGAGAAATACGACGAATCGAGGGGTCCTCTAAAAATTGACCCCCTTATGCAACTCTTTGTCTTCTGCCAAATAAACCTTTTCACGTTTAATGGCAGAACATACGAACAGACCAAAGGGACGCCGATGGGATCCCCAGGTTCCAGTCTCATCGCAGAACTGGTCTTACAGGAGCTGGAAAAAGTCGCTTTCGATCAATTCGAACCTGCATTATGGCGCCGGTAAGCGGACGATACTTTCGTTATAATCGGACGGAGCGGGCTAACAGACTTCCAAAACCTGCTTAACGGCATCTTCCCCGACATCCAATTCACAAAGGAAGAAGAGAGTGCCGGACAACTGTCGTTCCTGGATGTCCTCGTCAAGCGCAGACCCAACGGGGAATTCAGCAGCCCGGTTTATAGAAAGGCGACTAACACAACCCAGGTACTCAGCTTCCATAGTAGCCACCCAATAGCGCATAAACGTGGCTGTATTACAGCACTCTTTCAGAGGGTGAAAACACACTGCAGTGAACCTGAGGGACGAGTGCAAAAACTACGACATCTTCGAGACCAACTGGCCAGGAATGGGTACCCGAACAGCTTCGTCAGCCGCTGCCTCCGTACGCGCCCATGCAAAACAAACGAAGGAGAGCCACCAACGCTCTGGCACTCTCTACCGTACATTAACACTTTGACTGCGACGTGCGCCATATGTGGCACATGCAGTGATGTCCCAAACTGCGAC